GTCATAATCTGACTAATGTTTAAAAGAATCTATTTTATGGGTTAAGAATGGATTATTGTGATACAAGGGTATAGGGACAAAGTCATGGTACTGTTCAACAAGACATGATGATGAGTCAGTGCAACAGAAAGCATGGTATTATCATGTCCTGCATATATGTTGATACTATAGCAGCAAGATTTCTAACAGCAGAGATGGAAAGTGAGAAAGACAAATATACAATAAAACAGGAGGCAAAATTTAAGCCTTGGACAAAAAGATTAGAATTCTATCCAGGAGATGGGAAGTCAGCATATGGGATCGTTTTTGTGGGCAGAAATCTAGATTTCACTTTTATACATATTGTGCCTGAGACATTTGTCAGAAATCTAAATAGAGGTGAAGAGGAGGTAGTTTAGAATCTGCAGTTTGGGAGAGAATCCTAAACTGTAAAATAAGTTTGAGAGTTGTTAGCTTACTAATATAGTGTTGTTCAAAATAGAGGACCAGCCAGAACACAAAAGGAACAGATACAGAGAGAAATGAGAGGTCCAAGGACTGACTGTTAAAACAACCCACATGAACACCCGGGAAGAAGTGGGTAAACAAGAGACTAAAACATACTTATAAGATGTGAGGTGTGTGAAGAATAGAAAGCATAGTATTCGGAAAATCTTCAGAGGTCAGTATACCAAAAAGGAAGGAATTAATTACCTCAGATTCTATGGATTGACATGTCATCTCAGGACTGAGATTTAACAATGGGCATGAACTTCAGAAAAATTTGGCCATGGGACCAGCACAGGAGCACAATAAGCCAACCCTTCTCTAATGTTGGTGTTGGCATTAGCCATTGTGGCCATCTGGGAATGAATCAGTAGATGGAAGACCTCTCTCAAGTAATCTAGAAGTAATCTACATAATTCCTCTCCCTCTCTGTAAAATCTACCTTTCAAGTAAAAATAAACAAATCTCTTTTAAAAATTACTTAGGCAAGTAAAAAATAGGATTTAAAGACAACTGGACAGGACAGCAGAAAACTATTTTTTCCAACATTTTTTCAAGCTCTTTCCCATCATACCTTCTCATTTTAGCTTTAACTTCAATGATCTTAAAATATACTTCATTGAGGACCAGCTTTATTGTATGCAAGTAAAGCTGATGACTGCAACACTGATATCCCACACAGCTGTCAGTTTATGTCCTAACCATCACTTCCGATCCAGCTCCCAGATAACAACCCAGGAGAAAAAGAAAATGTCCCAAATACTTAGTGTCCTACAGCCCAAGTGGAAAATCCAGAGTAAGTTCCTAACTCCTGGAGCTGGCCAGGCCTGGCCCTAGACATTATAGTTATCTGGGGAAAGAATCTATGGCTGGAAGATCCCTCTTTTATTCTCTCTTCCTCTTTCTCTGTAACACTGACATTAAATGTAAAAAACAAAAGTATGTTATTGAAAATTGTCAGTTACGACATCACTTAAGAAATTCTTCATATTTTCCACTGTCACCCTATAAACATTGTTGCCTCTCAGTCCCATGTCTTTTCTGTCCTGTTACAGAGAGGTACATTCTGCACTTATCTGAAGATAAGAAGCCCATTCGAACTGTTGTAACAAAATATTATAGATCAGCTAACAACAGAAATTAGTTTCTCACTGCTGTGGAGTCAGGACATCCAAAATTAAGAAACTAGCATATTTGGCATTTGATGTGGGCTCATATTCTGATCCATAGATGGCATCTTCTTACAACGTACCCACTCATGCGGAGGAGACACAAAGGCTCTCTCAGGTTTCTTTTATAAAGGCATTATCCCACTTATTAGGGTGTTTTCTTCATAGCCCAATCATCTCCCAAAGGCCTTGCCTCCTAAAACCATCATTAGAAGGTTACTGCAACATGTTAACCTGCGGCAGAGGAGGGAAGGATGCTCATGCAGTAAGATTTTAGTAAGGTTCTAGGCACTACTCTCTTCAGATTTCCTTCTCCGTAAGTACCTACATTAGTCAGCTTTCATTATTATAATTAAAATATTTAAGAAGAGCTTCTTAGGAAGTAAAAAGGCTATTCCAGCTTAATGTGTAGCAATTCACAATTTGCTATCAGACACCCTCACCAGGCTGACAACTGGCAGAAGCTGGCAGTAGCAGAATGTGTGAGAGAAATGACCACATGGTGAGCCAAGGAACCAGAAATACAGGGAGCACATGTCCTCTACCCTCTATTTGGTCTTGTCATATAGTATTTTCCTTCATCCAAGGAGCTCCACTGTAGTAACCTCCTCCAGTCTGATCACTCTGCAAAGCACCACCGTCACATTCTGTAACTGCACCAAGCTTCCAACCTCACCCATCAACCATTACCATCAATCCACTTGAGATGAACACAAGAATTTGAGGTGTAAACATTTGTGTAGGTTTCAGGAGACAAATCTGTTCAACCCACAACACTTCCTTTTCATCTGCTAAAATCAGACCTACCAGTTCATAAACTTCATCTTCAAAGAACAAAACATCTTTCCTTGACCCTACTTTTGCCCCAATTTGCTTTTTCCTTTCACAGTTCAATATTTCAAAAGCATTTTTGTTTAGATAGTCTTTTTTGTGTATGTATGTTTTCTATAATCTGTGGTGCATGTGTTTATATATTCATTCCCTGCTTTCTCACAACTCTTCTTGACATCAGCGGTAAGGAAAGCAAGGGTTAAAGTAAGGCAGTAAAAGTTGCACATGTTAAAAAAGAAAGAGCTCAGCCTGAACAGGGACAAGATAACAGTTAATGCTGCTTCTCCATTCTGAGGAACAGGTTCCTTCGGCTCATTACAACAACTACACCTCACCACCAGCAGCAGAGTGTACACCCTGGGTCTGAGTGTCTACAGACATCACAGGGCAATGATTGCCTAGACTTGGGAAGAAGGAGAAATAAACTAAGAAGGAGCACCAAAAAAGAATCATTGGAAAGTTTTGTGTCTTGAATATAGAGGTGGTCACACAATTGTATATTTTGTCAAAACTTACAAAACTATATATTTTGGAGTTAATTCTACAATGGTTACATTATAGCTCAGTAAGTTGACTTTAAAAGGTAAACACAATATAAACTACAATGAAGTACTTAATATAAAAATTGATGAACAAGATAGATATTGAACAAATGCTTACACTGAAATATTAGATCAACAAATCCTAGTGGAGGAATTAGCACATAATAAATAAAAGAAAAATATAAATAGACTTGAAATGCTGAATCAGTATTGTAAGCTCTCCTGAGTCAAATACATATTTGAATAAAGGATGGTACCAATTACATAGAAAGTAATGGAAAGAATGAAGATTATAGATGAAGGAACACAAAGATAAATACATAGAATAAAATATACACATGTACATACTACAATGAAATCTAGTAATATCCTAAATGAAGGTAAATTTAAAATGTACACAGAACCACTTTATAAAGAAATGATCACTTTGTAGAATAGGAAGAAAAATCATGTGGAAAAAATAACTTGGAGATATGCTTTTGAGAATCTGGGGTGGGGAAAATGGTAAACACAGACGAGCTACCATTTTGTGTTTTGTAAAATGATTTTGTTTTTATGTAGTGCAAAAAAAAATGATACTGTCTTGGATACAGGCCATCAATCCACATACTGTATTGTTGAATGCAGTACAGTTGTCATAAGTATCCTCATGTGTATATGGGGAGTTCTTTCATGGAAACCACACAGATAGCAATATCTATGAGTGCTCAAATCTCTTATCTATACAAACTGACATGGCAATTTCATGTAACTGATACACATCCTCACATATACCTTATAGCATCTCTACATTTCTTAAAATCCCTAATTCATGTAAATGCCATGTATCTTTAAATGAACTGTACCTAAGGTATACCCACAGGACAAAAACTCTGTATATGTATAGTAAGCATTTTTCCCAAATGTGTTTGATCTGTAATTGATCAGATTTGTAAATGCCCAATCTGCAGATACAGATATTCAAACACAGGAAAATTCAGGGAAAATTTCTGAATTAAGAATCTGAATAAATCCTATTGTTCTAACTGTCCCTTATAGGTTATATCTATCAAAATACAATTTCCTAATCTTGATAAATGGTGACAAGGTTTCTATGACATTATTAATGAACATCTGTCTAGAAATTCGATTACTCTTTTAGTGACCAGCAAAGTACATTTCAAGCTTACTGCAGACACGCAATGTCTATTTTTTTAAAAGGCATGTAAATAGTCATTTCAGGAGAGAAAATAACCTTATAATGAGTGAAGAAAAATCACAAACACTGAAATTTGGATAAGTAGAACTATACTAAATGTTTCAAAAAATAGTTTGCAGGAATAACGCATTATATACAACAAATGGAAATAGCCAATTTATAAGGAAAAGCATAAATATTCAGTTATAATAATTAATGCTATAGTGGTGCATTTACAGTTTAAAATACCCAAGTTTCTGCCTCTGAGTAAAACAATGAAACAATTCAGTCATCAAGAAAAAAATTCCAGAAACAACACCTATCTAGAAGCTTTTAGATTAGTGTTACCTAGGTCTCCTTCATTTTCCAATTCCATGTTAAAGTACTATTGATTTAATAAATATTGAAGCTATGTTGTGAGATAAGAATAAATGACAAATTCTACACGCAACATCATAAAGTGCCAATGAACAACTACATAATTAACAAATTGGCTGTCAAACCCTTTCGAAATTGATCCACAGTTAGAAATAGATTTTATTTGCAGCCATGTATATCATACCTATACATGTAAATATAAACAACGTCAAATGAATATCAGCAATATCTACAGCTACATTTTCAAACTGATATTTTACTATTTTTAAATGTTACTTGCTTTTTTTAAAAAAAAAAAAAAAGCTGCTTGCTAGCTATTAAACCAGTTTCACAATTCATCCTGTAATCTGGCATGCATTGTGAAAATCATCTATCCAGTAATTATGTGGTTCAAAAATTGTTTAAAAACATACATACTTTGATTGTGTTAGAACCCAACCATGTCCGTGGGGACCTTGAAGGAGAATCAGAAGAATGCTGGAAAAAAAGAAAAGGAAGAAAGAAAAGAAAAAGGAAAAGCCTGTGAGGCATTATACTAAAGTAGAAAGAAGTGAAGAGAAGCAAAGCAAATGTTTGAATTGCATATTCTACTCTAAGGCATTACCATAGACAAGGAATCCTGTAAGACCTTATCAATGGTAGCACAGAGCTCTTCAGTTTGCTGCCTGAGCTGTGCAGGTAAACACAACTGGAAGAAGTGAAACCAGGCACTGAATTAGCAATCAGTTCAGGATGGTGTAATGAAAGTAGGGGCAATCTAAAGTCATTACCTCCACAGGTGGGTCTAATGGGCTGTCCTTGGAGACACTTTCAGTCTTGGCAGGTTCATCTAGTGCCTAGTGGTAAATGAAATATTTCTCATATGAGACTTGTAGTCAAATGCAAATATAGTAGAAAAGTATCTGTAAAGATAGCCCCATATATTGCAATATTTTTAAGAAAAAAAATCTCTGGATCATTTGATAAATTATTTGCTAACATACAGCCATTTCCCACATTTTTCCAATTACTCCTGTGAAATTTGCATCTCCAATAAGAGGTTTTATCTTTAATTTTAGTTTTGGTCCACTTGATGTATTTCACTATTAATTCACGTTTTGAATTTTAATTGCTTGGATGTGCCTGTTTATTATTTTTCCTATCACTCATTTGGACATGTGCCAGAGACGATCCTTAAATTTCATCGTTTTAATTTTCTTGATACATTTATACAACATTTACTTGGCATCAAGAATTTAGGTATAGTTCATGACTGATTCACATGAAAGCAAAAGTCACCTGTAATCTCTGGTAGTTGAAAAATAGATGTAGGTTTTCATCTTTATCTCTAGCCTTTGTATAACTAAGATGCAGGATCAAAGCAGCCAACACTATTAAATCACTACTAAATGACAGCTGTGACAGAGTCGATTGGAATTATACCAATGTATGTGAAAAGAAAATGAACATTGATTAAAGAAACTACTAAAATAACAGGTTTTGTCTATTATTACTTGGCATTGCTCACATTAAAAAATACACAGCAGGCTATTTGTTTTAGAAATTAATCTTGAATGTTTTCGACTTCAATTTCTAACCCGACCAATACACTGCGTTTCAAAACTTAAGAATCATACATTTCAGCTCAATCCCTGTTTTATGCGCTAATTGGCATTTGAATTATACTTAAATATACTATAAACACATTATCATATTCTGATTTCTGCTTCATATATCTAGATGTATTTTGAAGAAAACTTAATAAAATTTTATTAACTATTAACCATTTCTGAGGCTTCACATTCCCTCCTGACGTTTTGATTTCTGTTGAACCACTAGCTTTCTTTCTGTAGTGCAAGTCTGATATTAAGGAATTTTCCTATTTTTTATGACTGCGTTCATAGACACTTATTTCCTGGCTACAGAATACAGTTTTCTTCTTCTCTTCCAACACTTAAGAATTGTGATTCCGTTGTCACCTGGCCTCCATTATTTGTGATAAGCTCATTTCTTTGCATACAGTATAAGATTTTCCTTAACTATTTCAAAGATTTTTTTTCCCTTAGGCTTAATTTTTTATTGGAAAGACAGATATACAAAGAGGAGAGACAGAGGGGAAGATCTTCCATCCACTGATTCACTCCCCATGTGGCCGCAATGGCCAGAGAAGAGCTAATCCAAAGCCAGCAGCCAGGAACTTCTTCCGGGTCTTCCATGTGGGGGCAGAGTGCCAAGATCCGGGGCCATCCTGGACTGCTTTCCCAGGCCTGAAGCAGGGAGCTGGACGGGACATGGGGCAGCTGGGACATGAACAAGCACCCATAGGGGATCCCAGTGCATTCAAAGCAAGGACTTTAGCCGCTAGGCTACTGTGCTGGGCCCTGGCTTAATCTTCAGTAGTTTGTCTGTGATGTACCTAGGCATGATTTTGTTTGAAACTTACTGGAATTACCTGAGCTTCTTGAAAGTACACATTTACATTTCACCAAATTTGATAAAACTGTGGCTATTTTTTTTCTACTTCACTCTCCCTCTTCTTCCAAAATTTCAATTATGTTTTGAAACTGTTGCAAGAATCAGTGAATGCTTGTTCAACTGTTTTTCTCTTCCCCTGATGTTTCTACCAATCTATCTACAATTTTACCGACTCTTATGTGTCTCAATTTTCTACCAAGCAATCCAGTGAATCTTTACTTCTAATATTTTATCTTTTAATTGTGGAACTTAACTATTTTATAATGCTTACTGTGTCCTGAGTGCTCTGACATTCTAATTCATTATAATCATGTTTTCCTTTATATCTTTGAGCACATTTTTAATATTGCCTTTAAATCCTTGCCAGCAGATGACAGCAGCTAAAACACCTTTGTGTTGATCTCTATGAACATTTTCTGTTATGTAAGAAAATGAATCTGTGTATTTAGACATTTTATATTATAGCCTGAATATTTTATAGATGTTCTAAAGATGCTGCTGTTATGATCCCTGAGGAGTACTATTTTTGATGTTTAATTTCAACATATGACTGACTTTTTTAATGGTGCCAAACTTTGTCTCCCTGATGGTGGACAGCAGTTGACATTTTCATTCAGTTATTTTATCCTCAGTTGGGCTCAATGGGGACATGAAAAATTCGATTATCACCCAGGGATTTAGACAGAGTTTACCAGCAGCCTTTGGAGCTCCCTTCTGAGATTTTCTCTGTGACCTTAATGCTGTTTTCTCTTGTTCTTTATCCAATAAATCTTCATGGATATTTCTAAAGTTTAGCTGCTTTGTGGCAAGCGAAGGGCTGCCATTACAAAGAACCAAAAAATCTAGAATTTCGCTCAATGTTACTTTCTTGTTAAAAGTTTCAACTTAATTGCAGTTTCTGTTTACTCCTGGTCATAATCTGGTACCCCCATCCAGTTTTTTTAAAATTTTTATTCATTTATTTCCATTTTATTTGAAAAGTAAAGAAACAGACAAGAACCAGGGATAGGCCAACCTGAAGCCAGCAAACCAGAATTCAGTCTGGACCACCTAAGAGACAGACAGGGATGGAAGTACTCCATCCACCACCTGCTGCCTCTCAAGGTGAGAACCATTAACAAGTAACTGGATAGAATCAGAGGAAGCTGGATTGAAACTAAGTATCTGTATATGGATGCAGGTATCCAATGTGCAGTATCTTAACTCCTTTACCAAATACCCACACACAAACTGTTTTATTTTATAATTTGTTCAAAGTTTATCATTGTGAAACATAAAACAGTTTTTCCAACAAAAGTTACTCCACAATTCTCAAATTTCTAGAAGTAAAAGCAAATCAAATTAATTTTAACTTTCAGTGTGCATTTTTTGTATTAAAGATTGTATAAATTCAAGTCTAAAATGCAGCTTATGGCAAGTTTGTGCTTACAGTAATTTTTTTCCTACCCAAGCTAACAAAAGAAAATGTGCTAGTCATTTTCCTAATCCATCATGTAATTGAGAGCATAACCCTTCAAAAATAAAACCCTGGCTTTATGAAGAGAATGCGATTTAAGCTCTCTGCCTTATTCAACCTCCATTCCCCCTCTCTCCTCAAAAAGATGATATCAAGTTTCAACACTTATAAACTATTAATTTTAACAGTTTCAGAACAACCGAAGTGTCAGCACCTTGATAAATATTCTGTATTTAAGCTTGAGGTTTTACATTTGACCCTTGGGGATGCGCCCTAGTTTGTTGAATGTGTTCAGCTTTATATTGAATTGAGTCATTTCAAATAGACAGTATTCAAGTGAATATGATTAAAAAGGTGGCAATTTAATGTAATTTTTCTTTAAGCTTTGATCACTCATGCTAAGTGCTTACAAGTGTTTTTCAAGCTTACTAGTTACAATCTGATTTTTGAAAGTTTGACATTCTGCTACCATTGACATTGTTCAAAATGACAGCTAATGCTATGGCATAGTAAGTTAAGTTTCTCCTGCAGTGCAGGCATCCCACATGGGTTCAGGTTCCATCTAGGCTAATCCACTTCCAATACAGCTCTCTGTTTATAGCCTGGGAAAGCAACAGAAGATGGCTCAAGTGCTTGGGCCCACTCCTGGCTTTGGACAGGTCCAACTTGGCCATGGTGCCATTTGGCAAGCAAACCAGCAGATGGAAGGTCTCTCTTTCCCTTTCCCCTTCCCTCTCTTTATGACTCTACTTCTCTCAGTAACCCTGCCTTTCAAAATAAAAAAAAAAGAAACCTTTTTTAAAAGATTCAAAAACTCTATTTGCTCATTTAGATTATATTTTTATATATTCTATTTTTCAGGTACCATAGACCAGGGAAAACACATGATTTTTCTTTTGGGAACTGGTTTATTTCCTTCAACATAATGGTTTCCAGCTGCATCCATTTTGTTATTGTTTGTCTTTTTCTATATGCTTGAGAAACAGTGTTTCGTTTCCTTTTTTCTTTCTTGCTGTTTGTTGAATTCTTTGCCTAATAGTGTGTTATGTCTGTGACTGTGAAGTAAATTGCCATTGCGAATTCAAAAAAAAAAAAGAAAGAAGGAAGAGGGTGGGTAGGAAACACAGCAGAATGGAAAGTAACATGATAAGTACCACTGCACTGCTAAATTTGTATGTGAAATACATGAAAGTGGTTCATCTTACACAAGTAACTTAAAATTTTAAAAATAAGTTATTCAAAAAATGTGAGTTATGAGTGCTGAAGGCAATTACAAAAGAGGGTACCAAGATTGTGATAACTAACTGTAGACCGAATGACTCAGTTCTGTATTACAGCGCCTTGTGAAACTTTGTAGAAAAACAAGCTGTTCCGCTCTCTTATATGGATTTACCTGCTATTCTTCATGCCTTCATTGTTATTCTGATGAAACCATAACCTGACTTGGAAGTGTTATATCAGCCACAGAATACACACTTAAGAATTCAGGAGAGTGGCATGAAAAAGATGTGGTGTCACCATTTCCTCATTTTAGTAGCTAATAAAGAAAAATGCTACCTAGAAATCTTTGCTTCAAATTCCACTCCTCTGCACTAAATAAGAAAATTTGGAAGAGTAGTAGCCTAATAGAAACTCATAAGACATTAATTTTCTTACCACAAAAAAACCTATTTGCTTTCTTTCTTCCTGATCTTAAAGTATGATTATTCATGAAAGTTGATTGCCAAGGAAAACAAAAAATAAATTCTTTGCCTGAGATAGAAGAGGTCTAATCACTTTTATTCATCCTATTGGCGAGGGGCGGCTCCTTGCCTAGTGTTATAGTGATGGCCAAGTGCATGACTTCTGGCACTGGACCAGTGAAATAAACAATTTATCACTCACTGCTACTCATAGCTTGGGAGAGGTGGACCAAACAAGCTTACA